ATTCTGTCATATTTTTTCTCACCAGTTTATTGACTGTTTCAATGGGAGGACTGTTTATTGATTTGTTTCAAAAGTGGGAGCACCCACCTCTACCATTTTCCATGAAGTCACTATTTATGTATTTTTTTAACCTTTAATTTTGAAATTAATGTAGACTCACTGGAAGCTGCAAAGGTAGTACAGAAATAGCTGACATCCCTCAGTAATGTTTTACATAATTGTAGCGCAGCATCAAAACCAGGAATTTAACACACATAGTGTAGCACAGAGAGCTTTAAAAAAGATCACTTCAAGCAAGGCTTAGCTGTATGAAATTTCACATCAGAGACAAAGAGATCCTGAAAGCTTTCAGAGAGAAGAAAAAGCCACATACAGAGGCTCAGGAATTGGAGTGGAAAACGATGGAGCAGTGCCTTCAAAATTCTGAAAGTAATTTTTTTTTTTTTTTTTTTTTTTTTTTTTCCTTGCGTTATGCGGGCCTCTCACTGTTGTGGCCTCTCCCATTTGCGGAGCACAGGCTCCGGACGCGCAGGCTCAGCGGCCATGGCTCACGGGCCCAGCCGCTCCGCGGCATGTGGGATCTTCCCGAAACAGGGCACGAACCCGCGTCTCCTGCATCGGCAGGCGGACTCTCAAGCACTGCGCCACCAGGGAAGCCCTCTGAAAGTAATTTTTATCTATAGCTGTATGTCCAACCAAGCTTTGAGTGAAGAGTGAGAACAGAAGGGACATTTTCAGATGTGCCAAATCTTGGAAGCTACTATGAGGTGTTCTTCCCCATCCTCTGGTAAGAAACAGAGAGAGAAAGGCAGGGAGGCCAGGAGACAAGGGCTTCAGGAGGGGAGACAGGCCGAGGAAATGGCCAGGAGGGATGACAGCCACACAGCTGCTGGTCAGAGAGAGCAAGACCGGCCTCCGGGAAGTACAGCGCCAGAGAAATGAGAAGGGGGTGTGCTACCTACAGGGTCTGACCTTGGAAAAGGATGTCACAAGGTGCTGCAGAGAGCAGGTGAAGAGGTGAATAGTGTGGGGGACTCAGCCAGACTTCTAAAAATAAGATTAAACAGATGAAGAGGATAAGACAGTTACTACCTTCAAGGAGAAAAAAGCTACGTAAGAAAGAAAATGTAGGAACTTCCCTGGTGGTCCAGTGGGTAAGAGTCCGTGCTCCCGATGCAGGGGGCCCAGGTTCAATCCTGGTCAGGGAACTGGATCCCACATGCCGCAACTAAGAAGTCCTCATGCCACAACTAAAGATCCTGCGTGCCGCAGCGAAGATCCCGTATGCCGCAAATAAGACCCGGCACAGCCAAAATAAATAAATAAATATATTTTTTTAAAAAAGAAAGAAAATGTAATTACAGTACCCTTTTTCACTTGGTTATGTATGTTATGTTAGGTTAGGTTACTATGTTATACATAGTTATGTATGTTTTAATTATGGAACCAATGTGCTTTTAACAATAAGTTACAATATAGCTACATTGGAGAAATGGGAGAGGGAAAGAAGATTTAAGAGAGAAAATAACCATCTACCATGGCAGGAAGTCAGCAGATAAAGTCTAAAATTGTTGAATCAAGAAATAGCAGAATTGGGCTTCCCTGGTGGCGCAGTGGTTGAGAGTCTGCCTGCCGTTGCAGGGGACACGGGTTCGTGCCCCGGTCCGGGAAGATCCCACATGTCGCGGAGCGGCTGGCTCCATGAGCCATGGCCGCTGAGCCTGCGCGTCCAGAGCCTGTGCTCTGCAACGGGAGAGGCCACAACAGTGAGAGGCCCGCGTACTGCAAAAAAAAAAAAAAAAAAAAAAAAAAAAAGAAATAGCAGAATATGCTTATTTATTTAGAAATCTAACAGTAAATGCCAAAACTATCAAAAGAGTGAAAAGTCCCCTCAAAAGGGTAGAAGAGTGCTTTGCAGAAGAGGTAAGAGGGACTGTTTTTGTCATAAAACTTTTAACTCTATTTCACCTTACGCTATGTGCGTAAAATATTCTCATAAAAATAAAAATGAATTTCATTTCATTTTGGATTGGAAGTACTATTATCAAAGAAAAAGCAGTACCTAAAACAACCACAGTAGAATATAGTTCTACCCATCCTTTACAGAGAGCTTCTCTAAAGTTTTTATAATTTGAAACACACTAAAAGAGATACTACATTTTACTTTTGAAAATTAGAACTCCCAGTGGGAGGTACCTTGACGCTAACAGGACAGCTGAGAGCTTGAAATCACAGCCCTTTTGCTGCGACCTCCTGACTGCAGGTGCCTGCGTGGTGAGGAGCAGCACAGGCTGCGGTCCGGCCGGGGGCCCCGGACGGCGGGACAGTCTAGTTGCAGCCCAAGGGCAGAGCATGCGGCTATCCCCACCAATCCTAACTGTCCCTGTGCCGCCATCGGGATGGACACCCCGACTCTAGCATGTGCAGATCCGTGACGGGGGTAAGACACGGACACACGTCAACTGCCTCTGAGGTGACAACTGGTGGCCAGATGTGTGTGAAGAGACCGGCAGTGAGACTGTGGATCAAGGGCGAGTGAGGGAAATGGGGTGTCCTCTGAAAAGAGACCAGCTCTTTAGTGAGACCCTGAGAGTCGGCAGGAGAGCTGGAGCTGAGGAAGGACAGATAAGGCCCCATAGCCGTCTGAGCAAACCCAACTCGGGTGGCAGAGCAGGTGCGTGGCTCAGTGTGGAGTGGACAGAGCGGCGGCCCGGCCTCCTCCCAGCAGGTCTGCTCCCCGGGCCTCGCTCCACGGGCGCCACCACCAGCCGGGCCTCCTACCCTGTGTGGTCATGACTGACAAGGCTGGCGGAGGCTGTGGCCCAGCAGCTCCCGCCTCTCCCAACCCAGCCAGGACCGCACTCCAGACTTGCTTCTTCCTTCTTCTCTTCCTTTTCCTGCTTTTTGATGTTTTTTGGGGGGAGGCATCTCATTAAAGATTGAGGCAGTTTAGCTCTAGTTTATGAGGAAACAGAATGTGACAGAGTCCACAAGTCAAAGTGACAGCATCACATACACACCACACACACTCCACACACACCATCAAACACACACATGCACATGCACAAGCAGGACGCCCACAAGGTGGGCAGGCTCTCTGCATGAGGTCACCCTAGTGGTTCATCCAAGGAAGAAGGTCATGATCCTGAGTTCAAGGTGAAGGTCCTGGCAAACTAAGCATCAGTGGAGCAGGAAGTTCTTAAAGGAGCCTGAGCCACGGGGCTCACGTCTGTTGACAGAGGCGCTGAGTGTGCACACATGCTACAGACAGACTGACCGACTGACTGACCGATGGTGGGAAGCAGGGCCCAGAGCAGCACAGCTCGGAAAGCCAAGAGTGAGTGGAGGTTCAAGGAAGGAGTGTAAGGATTCCCTGAACAGAGGTAAGCAGGAAACTCTGACCTTACGAAGTACAGAGATGACTGCTGACCACACGAGTGTCAAATCCGCTCTGACACCCCAGCCACTTGGCCTAGGAAACCAAGGAGTGTTTGTGAAGCTCATGGAAATGCTGCAGACGGCTTCGGCCACTAAAAGCGACAGGCCAGTGAGGATGCACAGCTGGCAGCATGAGGGGAGGAGGGCTGCCTTCTCACCACAGCACTGACGCCCAGGCCTGGGGCACCTTCACAGGAACGTGGGCAGGTATTCTAGTCCTGCCCCCAATGAAAACTGCCCCCATAAGATCAGCCCTTCACACTGTCTGGACCTGCTCGTGAGAGCCTTCCTGCTGCGGACAGACCAGCTCCGGG